TATTCTGCCTTAGTTATGTGCCCCTTGTTCCGCTTTTTCTATTTGTCCTTTTTGTCATTCAATTTGTCAGAGAGTTCTTTATGCAGCCATGCTGGTTTCTTTTGAGAGCTGTTATTTTTCTTCATTGGTATTGTGCTAGACTGGGCTTTTATAATCTCCCTTTTCAAAATTTCCCAAGCTTCTTGAGTTGTTTTCCCCTTGAGGATTCTCATCCATGGAATCCTTCCCAAGCTCCCAAGCTTCCCAAGTTTTTTGAAATCAGCTTTCTTAAACTCCAAGACTCTAGTTTGTTCTATTGCTTGTTCTTGTATAATGTTGAATTCCAATATTGTATGATCACACACATACCTCAGGTTCCTGTAGCTTCAACACCGATCATTTCATCTCTGTTAATGAGAATTAAGTCCAATATGGCTGATCCCCTTGTTCCTTTCTCTACTTTTTGGGAAACAAAGTTGTTTGCTAGGTTTGTCAGGAACCTGTTTGATCTTTCACTTGGCACAGAGTTTGTCTCCCAGCTGATGTTAGGGTAATTAAATTCCCCCATTGCTATTGTGGTGTGGTTAGTTATATATTTATAACTTACAATATTTTTAGAAAGACATTGAGCTTTTCTCTGATAGAATACAAAGCCTTTAAATAAACCATTAATTAATGTAGTCTGACAATTTTTAACTTACCTTTTTGTATTGTATTAGAGCAGTGACTACAGCTATCACTGGATCTAGGGAAAAACCTAGAACAATTACTTAGCATGAAAAGTATGAAAAATATTCAAATTGAAAACTTGGCAAAAATGACTAAATATGTTTTTTTATAAATTTCCCACACTATTAGTCTAAGAATGTGAATTCAAGGGAAATGAAGTTGCAACTGAACGTGGATGTTTGTATGTATTCTGTGATTATGAGATTAATATCAATTTAATGGGCAGGGAATGCTGTGATCTTTATCAGTCTACCCTCACCCACTGGAACTCACTGGAGTTACTTCACAGCAGTCACTTTCTCTTACCAAACTTACCAGGATTGTTGGAGAAAAAGTAGATCTTATATGATACTTAGGTATAAACAATGTGACAGTACCTTGCTAAATATAGTTCCTGTCTTTTATTCCAGGTCTTTTCCCCACTACACTTATATTTATGTAGATTTTGAACTGATCAAAAAACCCCAAATCCTACATTTTTAAAAAATTCCTTTCCTCCAAATGAAGAAAACAGCTTGCAAGAACTTTGTTGGTGTCCCCTCATTTATCTTTTTCCATACATCAACCTAGGCATTTTGTTTGCATTATAAAACATAGTGCAAATCATTCTTTCTATGGGAAATAGTACTGCTTTACACAGCAGTAGTGAGGCCACACTTGGTGTCCAACTCTGGTCACCACGATACAGAAAGAAATGCTGAGGGCCTAGAAAGAGTGCAGAAAAGAGTAACACAAATGATTAGGAGTCTGCAGGATAAATTATATGAGGAATGGTTAAGGAAACTAGGTATGTGCAGTCTAATGAAGAGAAGGATTAGGAGTGACATGATAGCTGTCTTTTGGTACACAAAAGGCTGCCAGACATGCGGGGGTCCACTTATTCCCCAAAACACCTGAGGGTAGGACAAGAAGCAATGGATGGAAATTCACTAAAGAGAGATGCAACCTGGAACTAAAGAGAAACTTACTGACAGTGAGAACAATTAACCAATGGAACAGCTTGTCTCCTAGAATTGTGGGCACACCATCACTGGAGATTTGCAAGAAAGAAAAGTCTCCAGCCATGGATTTATCTAGACATGGGTTGGATTAGAAGACCTTCAAGGCCCCTTCCATCTTGATGATTCCATGATTGAATGAATTGTAGTTTTATACTAGACATGAAACTAGCTGGGTGACTTTGGGTTAGTTGCTTTCATTTAATCCTAACCAGTAGGTAATGACAAACCATTTCAAAAAATTTTGCCAAGGAAACTGCAAGAAATAACCCATGCAGCTGGAGTTTCACACACGGAATGTATATATTATGTACATTATATATTATATTATTGATTATATTATTTATATACATGTGATTGGCAATGTGTAAAAAGCTGGCATTGTACAGAATGCCTAACATAACTATAGACTGTGAGGTTTTTATGCAAAATATGAAATATCTGTGCTATTTTAATATGCTACACACTTTCCCTAGACATTGTTTATAATATCTAGGTATTGTGCAGAATAACAAGAATAACTGTTTTATGGGATTCTGGAAAAATTAAAGAACATTGATACGCTCTGCTATTTTTAATTGTCAGTAACAATCTAGAATCATTGCAAAAATGCCATCTAATTGCATACAGTGGCAACAAAAGAAATTCTCTTTTTGTAAATCCATCTCAACCACAATATGTTGAAATTACTCTAGTGTTTTAACTGATGTTTCCATAAAAATTCCTTTACCTGAGTATTGCCCCAATTGGGCAGCTGAAGCTCAAAACAAAACAAAACAAAACTTCTGACATGTTTGGCCAGCTAACAAATTAAGTGGGCTTCTTAGCTTAGCTTAAAGCTGTGTGAAGCAGGTAGGAAGTTGATTAGGGCCTCCAATCACATTTTTGATTGGAATCACTCCTCGCATTTTCCCCACTGTCTGGAGAACAAGCCACAGGTTGCTTCAGGAAAGAGTCATGAAAATATTAGGTTAACTGTAGCTAACAGTTAACCTGTTACAGTTAACAGTTCTTTTCAAAACTCTCTTTTCATACTTAGAATCCTAACCCTTTATTGAAAAGACATATATAAAAATGAAAAAAAGAAATGTTAAATAAAAGACAGGACTTTCTTACTGGGAAAAAACCCCCAAGAGAAAATGATTAGCATTCACCTACTTGTTGTAACAAGGAAGGCTAGAATGGCAGGAGTATTTTATATTTTGCCTTTTGACATTGTCTAGGAAATGTGTGAGATATTAAGCATTTCTTACTTTGATGTCCCATTTTGGCATTCTATAAATTTTCTAGGCATTCTATAAAATGTCTAATTTCACACATGGATGATAACATATATATAATCCAGTAAATAAGTAATACATTGAGCAATGACACTGCAATTGAAAAAAATAAAATTCACAGACAATTGAAGCTAGAATCTAGTATATATTACTATTTGTAGAATATAAAAAAGTAAGTATATTGCAGTTTTTTCCATTGCTGATGTTATAATTTAGACTTACCTTTCACATTTCTTCTAAGAACCTAGTGTGGTTTATATGCTATTCTTTCCACCAGTTTTTCCCCCAGAAGCAACCCTATGAAATGGGTTGATATAAAAACAGTGCCTAACCAAAAGACCTGCTGGATCTGAGTCTTCCTCTATCCTAGTTTATTCAGCATTATACCACAGAGTCTTTCTTATTTACTAGTGGAGATTGAAATTTGTATTTATGGAATACAGGATATTCTGCTTAATTTGTTTTTATAAGATGCTATCATCATAAGCTCCTTTTAAAATGAATGGACCGAGACTGTGGCATGAATTTGGAGTTCACCAAATTATTTAGAGCAGTAATCCGCACAAACTATAGCAATGTTTAAAATATATCAGTTAGCCAGATATATGGATATAATTTGAGAATATTTCTCAGGACAGATTCAACCATAGTTTCAACTGGGTAATTGTGAGCATCCTAGACTAAGCTAAATAAAAAAAATGCTACAGAATTCCTGGAAAGTTGGCTTTCAGAGAAATCAGCTATTAACAGACACAGAAACCACATTTACACACCATCCAAAAGAGACAATAAAATACCTAAGAAGATACAAAAAGATCACAAGACATCCTCTCCAGCAGCCTACACTCAGTTAAGCAGGGATTAACAGGGAGCAAACCCCACATTCATTAGCACCATGGACTTTACTGCCTCTCAGCATCATAATGCCCCCGTGTGTCCAGTGGTTATATGATGCTGAAGAGTCAGTGCTCTTGAATTTAAACTTTCAACAATTTATCTGATATGCTTATACATTTTATATTAAAGTATCAAATAGTTTGCAATAAAAACAGCAACAGAATTCATAATAAACCGAATGCATTAAATCAGAAATTTCAGAAAGTTTCCATCTTCCTGGGATTCTGCTTTAGTTTATTGGCTTTCATTACTGCATTTAAACACATCCAGCATTTAGGATGTGCTCAATTTCTTCTGATTCAGTTCTTCAGGAAAGAAGAGATGAGTGTCATAATTATATTAAACATAGAACTTAGAATCATACTGGAATTGATAAATAGTACTGGAGATAGAACAGTGTCCTGGGGTACCCCACAGAATAATATTTATAAGATTATCCCTTCAACTTGGAGTAAACCATTGTAACAGGTTGCCCTCCCCCACTCCCTCATAAAATATAATCTAGGAAATGTTATTGATCAAACAGGATCAAAGGAATTGCATTCCCTCTGTCTCCCCTTTTTTCAAGATGTCAGGGTAACCATGCCTAGTTCTGTTACAAAATCAGGTTTAAGTCAAATTGAAATAAAAAATGAATAATTAGTTTCTGTGCAGATATTATTTTTTGTCCCAAGAAGGGGTATCTGTGACTGGATAATAGTCAGAAAAAATTCTGGATTCAAGATTTTTTTCCCCCAGAAGTGGGTAAATTTAAAGGCCCCATTCCATCGTACAAAAATGCTTTCTCCTCTCTCTGGATCAACCAGTCAAGCCCCATTGGTTAGCTCAAATGAACTCAAATGGTCAAGGATCAAGAAACTATTTAGAAGGTTAAATGGTTACAAGTCTACATCCTTTTCTTTAGGCCTCATTGGCTGAAATAAGCTGGACCTAATGATATTCTGAGTACCTCAATATATATTGCGTGACAAGTAGTCAACATAAATATGAACAATGTTATTCTTGTCTTACAAATTGTAACAGGTCCACAAGGGCTTAAAGGTATCTCTGACACAACTTCAAGAATGGCATGTATTAACATGAATAACTATTATTCCATATTTTATCATTATTCTAGGGCAGCAATGAACTTAATGAAGTGCTTCTTAAAAACATAAATGATGCCAGGAAAATTCATCTTGTTCCATGTCATCTGAGAGAAAAATTTGTGCTCCGTTTTGCAATTTGTGCCCGCACAGTGGAATCTTCCCATATCCAGTTTGCCTGGAAGCACATCACAACAATGGCAAGTGTACTTCTGAAAAAACAAGAACAGAGTACTGAATAAAAGACAAAAGGCTGGATTCAACTCCAAATGTAAAGGATAACATAAATTCTCTCTTGTCTGATACTTGTCTGTCACTACCAGGACCATATAGTGTTGTAATTAGATTGAGTGGGTTTATAGATAAAAGAGTAATACTGATAATCTTCATTTAATGACCACTTGTTCAGTGACTACTTGAATTTGTGATAGCATGCACTGAATGGTAGTTATGAGTGTCTCTTATTTTTATGCCTGTCACAGTATTTTGTGCTCATGTGATTGCTGTTTGCAATCTTATTTGCCTACTTCTGACAATCAAAGTCCATCGAGAAGTCAGCAGAATATTGCAAATGGTGACACATGACATCCTGCTTAACAATCTGTAGTTATTTTCATAACAACCAGAGCATCAGAAATGTTGTTGCTAAGTGGCACAGTTATGTGACATCAAGCTTTATAACAATGCTGCTTAGTAACAAATTCTAGTTCCAATTATTGTTGTTAAGGGATGATTACCAATAATGGCTATTGGTGTTCAGAGGCCAAATGCCAAAAACCTTATCATTATCCCAATATGTACGAACCTGACTGTAAGCCCTGACAATGTGATCTTATCCTGTTTGACCTCAACATCTTCTAGGTCTTGGCTATTGGCAGAATATAACAATGAATCAATCTGCCTGCAATAATTTATCTTTTTAGGCCAGTGGTGATGCCTTATGGCAGATGATAGCAAATCATAAAGATCAGAACTATCAGATAAAAGTTTGCTCAGCTAGAAGACTCTGTTGTCACTTGTTGCAGTGCAGCAAATTAAAAAATGACATTTGGAGGGATGGTAGACAGCACCACTGCTTCTTTTCTGATAACATTCACCTTACCTGAGCCTTGGTGGTGCAGCAGACTAAAGTGCTGTTAAGTAGCACTTAGCTGCTAGCTGTCTGCAATTACTGCAAATTCAAATCTCACCAGGCTCATAGTTGACTCAGCCTTCCATCCTTCCGAGGTAGGTAAAATGAAGACCCGGATTGTGGGGGCAATAAGCTGACTTTGTATAAAAAAGAACACAGTTTAGGGGGTGCCAAAAGCCCTACTAAGCAGGTATATACAAAAGTATGAAGGCTGTTGCTTAATGCGTTGTAAGCCGCCCTGAGTCTCCGGAGAAGGGCGGCATATAAATCTAACCAATAAATAAATAATAAATAAATACCTCTGACCTTGCAATTTTCATCTCGGACTTTGAATATTTGCATTTTCAAGTTTTTCCTTTCTAGCATTCTTTTTTTCTTTTTGATAAAGAAAAGGGGTTTTCTGAGAAAAAAAGTGAGTTTTATTGCTATTTCTTCTTAACTTTAGTTATTTAAACAAATAGGCTTTTAATGAACTGAAATTATTTGAAGACTATTTATTGAATTAAGAATCTTTTGGTCCAACAAATGATAATTGGGGTAAAACTATGTAATCTTGTCCAACCATGCTTTCTCTTGTTATAGGTTTGCAAGTATAGAGAATTATTGATTATACATTAAAAAAATGATGAAAATATTGATAACTCGCTGAGTCACCTCAAGCTGGCATATAATCATATAAACATATAAACAATAAATAAACTCAAGTCTAGCACCATGACTCTAATTGAATTACATTACTGTTGAAAGTTAATGTTTCTGTGTAATTTTCTTGAAGTAATTGTGCCTTGCATTATACCCATTATGTGACAGATCCTGATTTATGATTTCTACTATTATATAATCAAATGTACTAGAGTGTATCTTTTTCTGTATAAATGCTTATTTATTTATGCCTCTAGAATGTTTCCACTGAACGGGATCTTAGGGCTTGCTTAAATCCTCTAAAGCAATGTTGTGAAACTCAAATATAATATTAACTTAGAAAACCACCACATTTGTCTATTTCTTTTTTTATTAATACATCAACACATTGTAATCAGATATGAATTAAATATTACTAATACACAAAAACAAAAAGCATTATTATGAATTTGACTATTTGTTTTCAATATTTATGGTTATATATATTTTCTCACCACCTGACTCTGAGCTTCCTCCTGGACTATTAAATTATTGCACAAATCACCTCCTCACCTCTTATTCCCTCTTACTACCTATCTCCTTGCTTCTATTTCATGTGCAGAAAAGATTATTTTGTGCAGCTTTCCCAAACTAGGTACACATTTGTGTACTATGCAAGAATATGAATATACATCATCATATTCAGATCTTACATTAAAACCCTTTAATTTAGTTGACCATCCACAATTAATAATATTAATACAGTTCCCTTAAATCTACTAATATTTACCTTATTTTCCTTTCTCCTTTTCACTAATCTTACCTTCTTTAACCATTTTCTCTTGGTTTCTGCAAAATTCCAGTTCTTAATAGTTTTCTCCTTTCATCCCATTCTTTTAACTTCTTCTTCTTCTTTTTTTCTTTTTATATTTATTATATCTTTTCTTCTGAATCCTTTTTCTCACTTTTAAATATATTATTAGAGTAATTCTCCCCAAGCTTTCTCCTAACCTCTTCCCATTATTTCCCTCTTTACCCTTTGATTGATTCTTTTTTGGAAGATATTCCCCCGTCCACTCTTTTTTTGCCACTGTAAATCCCAGTGAAATCATCTAGCTGCTTTTTGCTTAAATTATTTTCCTTCAATATTATTTTCTTGCTCCTCATTTATGCTCTCTTCTCTTATTTCTGTATATTCCAACCAAGTTTCTGACTTTTTATTACCTTTCAGAGATTCACACACATTTTTTTTGAAATAATTTTTAATTACACTTTTTCTTTACACAACTCTAGTACATAATCAACAGATTGTGTCATTTTTGTATACTTCGGATCAACATTCCATATAATATATACATTATATACATTCAATATCTAATCCTCAATAGCCTCATGTATATTTTCAATTTTTATTTCTATTATCTATCCAAGTATACCATTTTTCCCAAACCGCATAAAATTCTGAATCATCTTTTTCTTTTAGTTCTAGGGTAAGTTTATCCATTTCTGTTGCCATTTCTCTTTATTTTAATGTTAGAAATTTTACTAAATAGAATCAGAGCAAAACGAGAAATAAAGGGAACGAAAATTAAAAGAGAAGAGTACAAAGCACAGGCCTTCGCGGATGACATGGTATTCCTTATTGAGGAACCTATGGAATCCAGTCCTATTCTAATACAAGAAATAGAAAAATGTGGAAATATCTGGACTTAAAATTAAGAAAGAGAAAACCAAAATGATAATTAAAAACTTAACAATAAATCAGAAAAATGAATTAGAAAAGGAAATGGATTTACAAATTGTAAAAAAAATTAAATACTTAGGGATATGGTTAACAGCGAGATGTACGTTCCTAAAGCAAGTTAATTACATGGTATTAGTCCAACAAATAAAGAAGGATTTGGAAAAATGGGGGACGCTACAACTATCGCTTTTAGGTAGGAAAGCGACCATCAAGATGAATATCCTACCCAAATTATTATACTTATTTCAGACACTTCACATATCATTAGATAAGAAGTTTTTCGGAGAACTTAACAAAATTACTACAAAATTTGTTTGGTCAGGAAAGAAGGCAAGGATAAAACTACTCTCTCTCCAAGATAGCAGAAGAAGGGTGGGCTTTGGACTCCCAGCGTGGGAATTTTACCACAAGGCAGCAACTCTGGTTTGGATAAGGGATTGGGTAAACTTAAACAACAGAAGAATATTAATACTGGAAGGACACGATCTGCAAAAGGGGTGGCATGCATTTATGTGGAATAAAGGGAATAGGACACATTCATATTTCTATAGACACAAAATAAGAGATGCATTGTTACTAATTTGGGTGGATATAAGGAAAAAACATTACATGAAAATCCCTGGTTGATTATCCACCATGAAAGCAAAGATCCACCCCAACACATCAGATATAAGCAGAATGCCCAGATATTCAGAAATTTTAGATAAAAAGGGGAAGCTTAAAAACAATCAGATACTAAACAGGGAATTTCTATTGATTGGTGGCCATATTTACAATTGCAATCTAGGTACAAGAAAGACGTGGAAGAATAGGAATTGACATGGAACAAAAACAACTAGACAAATTGTTGATAGGCCCGAAGGAAAATTAATATCCAAAATATACAATTATCTATTATAATTTGATAGAGTAGAGGAGGTGGTGAAAGACCCGATGATTGCATGGGCTAAAAACATAGGGCATAATATAGATTTAGAGGATTGGGAAAGAATTTAGAACAAAAATTATACTATAACAAAATCCGCTGTTTATAAAGAAAATCAATACAAAATGCTTTACCATTGGCACCTATTTATCTAGTCCACTCCAAGTTAAAGCTTTGTTATCTTCCACAGCCAACAAATATTGCAGTACTCTCTTTCAGCCAGCAGATGTTTCTCTCAAATCCACAATATTGCTCGTGTATTGTTGTGATTGAAGCTGAAGTAGTCATTGACAGGAAGGACATTGCGGCAGATAATTTTATGTACAATGCTTAGGTCAGACTGAAGTCGGCATAGTTCTAAGTCGTCTAAGCCCAAAATTTGGAGTCTGGTGGCATAAGGTATTTTATTGCGGTTAGAGGAATGGAGGACTCTTCTTGTAAAATAACTCTGGACTCTCTCGATTGTATTTATGTCCAATATGCAGTGTGGATTCCAGACAGATGAGCTGTATTCAAGAATTGGTCTAGCAAATGTTTTGTATGCTCTAGTTAGTAGTACAACATTATTGCACTGCTATCAGTGTGGGACAAAATTAAACAACAAAACTACAGGGAAATACCAGTCTGGCGCTCCACTTCAGAAGCATTGATACACCCAAATCTTACAAATATGGAAAAAATTGTTTCTTATAAAGATATATTAAATGACAATGGTGAATTGAAAACCAGATTAGAACTAAAAGATCATATAAGGAAAATCTCTATAAAATGTTCTATAGGTGGCATCTGCCCCTGACAAGATTGGCTAAAATGTTCAACAACATGTCCCCAAATTATTGGAAATGTAAACAGATACCTGGCACATATTATCACCTGTGATAAGACTGAGTGGCTGTGGCTCCCGGCATCCCGGTATTAGTCAGCTGGTGCCATCGCTGACTACTGGGGGTGTCCCCCACAGAGAGGGCCCGCAATCTGAGTGTCTTCCTGGACTCATGGCTGTCTTTAGAAGAGCATACGACGGTCATAGCCAGGCTTTTTATCAGGTTCACTTGATCCGCCAGTTGCGTCTCTTTCTGGACCGGGACGCCTTGCGCACGGTTACTCACGCCCTCATCACCTCCATCTGGACTACTGTAATACTCTCTACATGGGGCTCCCCTTGAAGAGCACTCGGAGGCTCCAACTGGTCCAGAATGTGTCCGCGTGGGTGGTTGTGGGCGCATCTTGTTATGCCCATGTAACACCTCTCCTGCGCGAGCTGCACTGGGTCCCAGTGGTCTTCCGAGTGCAATTCAAGGTGTTGGTCACCACCTTTAAAGCGCTCCATGGCATAGGACCAGGATATCTACGGGACCGCCTTCTGCCACCAACAGCCTCCCACCGACCAGTTTGCTCCCACAGAGAGGGACTCCTCAGGGTACCGTCGGCCAAGTTATGTTGGCTGGCGACACCCAGGAGGAGAGCCTTCTCTGTCGGAACTCCTGTCCTTTGGAATTGCTCCCAGATATTCGTAACATCTCTGACCTCCGGGTCTTTCGTTGTGCCCTCAAGACCCTACTGTTCCAACAGGCGGGGCTGTCTAACTGAATGGTTTTAAATTGGATTTTAATTTTGGGCTTTAAATTCGCCCAAAACTATTTAATGATTTTAATTAATTTTAACTATGATATTGTATATTTATATTTTAATTCTGGCTGTACACTGCCCCAAGTCCTTTGGGAGAAGGGCGGTATATAAATAAAATTATTATTATTATTATTATTATTATTATTATTATTATTATTATTATTATTATTATTATTATTATTATTATGTGGTGGACCTGCATAAAGGCAAGGAAATTTTGGATACAAATCCATATATGGTTAGAAAAAATGATCAGACAACATATAGATTTTAAGCAAGAATTGCTTTTATTAGGCATTATATCAGGTGCAGTGGTGGGATTCAAAATGTTCCACTACCGGTTCTGAGGGCGTGGATTGGTGGGCATGACTTGGTGGGTGGTCATATGATGGTGGGTGGTCACAATGTAGGCTGGTGACCCCCAGGGGGAGAGCCTTCTCTGTGGGGGCACCTACCCTCTGGAATCAGCTGCCCCCCTCTGGGTAGGAGGAGAATCCAAGACCTCAGTGCCTTCCGCCGTGCCCTTAAAACCCACTTTTTCCAGCAAGCCGGGCTGGCTTAGGAAGAAATTTTTTAAAATTTTTAAATGTTTACTTGGTTTGTGGTTTTTTAAATTTTGGGCCAAATTTATATAGATTTTAATTGTTTTTAATATTTGTATTTCATGTTTTTAATTCTGGCTGTGCACCGCCCTGAGTCCTCAGGGAGAAGGGCAGTATATAAATTGAAAAATAAAATAAAATAAAATAAATAAAATGATTGAGTTGGGTCTTGCCAACTCCACATCACTGATGGCAAGGTGGGGTGGCACCACTGACAGAACCACAGAACGGACAGAAAAGTTTGGCCAAGTCTTCTAGCATTCAATCTGTCTGTTTCTTGCCTCCTTCTCATGTTTGCTCTGTGTGTATGAGGCCAAGAAGGAGGAGAGAAACAGCCATGTTAAATGCTTCAGCAGAGAGAAGCCAAACTTTTCTGCCTCCCTTCGCAGCGGAGCTGTTCAGAAGGCAGCTCCTGTGGCCAGCCCCCTCATGGTCCCCCCTCCCCCCACATCAAAGTACCTTAAAGAC